CCGCCCGCCCCGGCCGCTCTGCCCGGAGCTCTGTCCCGCAGTGACACCTCCCGGCCCCCTCGTTTCCCCACCGGTGCCCGGGGCAGCCCGGGCCGTTGTTCCCCGGGCCCTCTCCCCGCAGCGCTCCCGCAGGCAGCCCTTCCCCTCGGGGGTGCAGCGAGGAACGGGCAGGTCCCAGCGGGGGCCCGGGTCGCTCCCGCGCTCTGAGGAAACCACACGCTCCTCGCTCCGGCACCACATCGCGTCAAGTACCGTCAGCAAGAGCTGCCTCTGCGCGGCTGAAATTACCTTGGCCCTGTGTCCCGCTAACGAAGTGCCCTGAAACACGCAGAATTTGGGAGGCAAGCCCTGACAGGCAGGAGATTTCAGAGCGGTATCTCCACGTGAGCTTCGGTGGTGGTTTTTCACTCCTCCTTCACGTGGGGTACTGAAAAACCTCCGATTTTAGCGAGGCAGTCAGATATGCTGTACACCCTAGAAACATCTGGCTGCGAGTCTGGACAGTTTTTTAACTGGACGTTACCTTTAACAGGTGATGGCACCCTAGAAATGAATACATGGCAGAGGGAGAGGCAGTTGTTCTCTTTATTTTGATGTTTGCCAGTTACCCCTCTTTTAATAAAAAGCATCACAGTTTGAGTTTTTTTTTTAGTACAGATGCAACATTCATTTTTCCCTTAGTTCATCACGTGCTGGTAACTACTGTTACGGTCTCAAGGAGGTTAAAGCATGTTCAGCCTGAAGCTTAATCAAAATCAGAATGATTATGACAACTTAAAGGTGTCATGAAAAATAAAATTAATTCTGAATAGGAAGGAAGAAGGAAGTGCAATTATGTTTTTTGATGTGTAGCTGTTTATCAGGCTCTCTGGATGCAGCAGAACATTAACTTCACGTCTGTTTTACATTTCAGAAGTCACCACAGTGACAGTAGCCAACGTTGGTGCCTCCGCAGACAATGTTTTCACTACATCTGTGGCAAACGCAGCTTCGATTTCAGGACATGTGTTGGTAAGTCTGTCCTTTCCTTTGAGGGCCTTAGCAAAGTCCCGTGTGCTTTCTTGGTGTAAATGAAGAGCTCGGTTTGTGTTCGAGCTGTAGTAAGGTCACAGATGTGTTTTCATTGCAGTACACAGGCTTTAAGCCACAAAACCATTAGCTGGGGGACATATAGGTTTTTCTTTATCACGTGGAGAGGTTTTTTCTACCTTTCCACCCCCATATACTCTTCTGTAATGGAACGGGTGACCTGGAACACGTAACCTTTGAATTTGGTAGGTTGAAACCTCAAAAACTCACCTAATTACTGATTGGTGTTTTAGGGTACCTTTGAGAAGGTTTGGGGGAATACTAAAACACATTGGTATTTGAACTCTATCAATTTAAACTCTTTATTTCTTCTATAGTCTGGGAGAACGGCCCTCCAAATCGGGGACAGCTTGAATCCTGAAAAAGCCACTCTCATAGTGGTTCACACAGACGGCAGCATTGTAGAAACCACAGGGTTGAAGGGACCACCAGCACCTCTCACACCAGGTATAAGGCAATCTGTTTTCGAAGTGTTGTTCTCCCGGAGGGGTTGCTTTTTCTCCACTTTAATTGCGTTGCTAGGATTAAAAAACATTCTGTGCATAATGTTATACAGTTGCCTTGTAAGGCTCGTTTGTCCCCTCTTCACACGGTACTTCTTGTATTTCTTGGGAGGAGAAGAATACTTACTTTTTTTGTTTTTTTTCCTATCAGAAATATATTTACTTTTCTTATTCTTTGCCCAAACCCTTGCAAATAAGCTTCTTGAAAATTCTCGCCCTGCTGCTGGGCTGTCGCATGCCTTTCTACACCCATCCCACCCCCAAAGGCAGATGAATCATTCGAATATCGGTAATAAAAATATTAATCTCCTAGTTCTGCACGCGGGTTCTTTTTAAAGGGCCCTTGAATACAGTTCTGTCTCCTTTCAGGCCTCTTGCCGATATGTAGGTATCGCAACAGCTGATGCCTTTATTGCTAAGGGTTTTGTTCACGGCTGCTTGGCAGTTTCCTTTCTGCCCACAAGATGGCCAGGCAAACCTTCAGCGCTCTGAAACGCGTTGCAGCATCGGCCGCTGGGAAGGGGAAGATCCAGCCAGCTGCTTCCACCACTCCAGGTTACAACCCCAGCGTTTAACCCGCTGTTAGAGCCTCTTCCCTAAGATGCAGTTTGGTTTATTTTCAGTCATTTTCAGAACGTTCAAGCTGAATTTTTTGTGGTGCACCTTGTAACTCACGTTGCTGTGGAGGGGTGTCGCTGCTTCAGTAACCACTTGAGACTGTTGCCCCAGCCAAGCTGAGAGCGTGACGGTATAGCCAGTGTGCTTTTTGGTTGCTGTCACCTTTCTTTTCTTTTTTTCAAAGGACCGCAATCTCCTCCTACCCCCTTAACATCCGTCCAAGAAAAAACTGGAACCAAGTATAACTGGGACCCATCTGTGTTCGAGAACGAGCTCCCGGTGAGGTGCCGGAATATCAGTGGCATTCTGTATAAAAACAGACTTGGCTCAGGTAACAACGCCCTCCTTGGGTGAGGAAGTGTGACGGCTCCTTCTTCACTCCGTGCACTCTTTTTTTAATCAGGCTACTTTAAGGGCCGGTCGTGAGGAATAAAAAGGCAGTTTCCTAGCCAGTCGAGTCCCTTTCGATATTATTGTTCTGTTCTGCTCTTTCTTCAGAGGCTTTTTAACTTTTTTCTTAAATCTGTGAAGATGCAGGCTGCTGTGCAGCGAGTCTCCCCGGTAATAGATTGACTCCTCTAACGTTCTTTTTGCCTCAGAAGTAGACCCGTGTTTCTACAAAGCTCTACAGAATCCCTGCTGGAATGGAAAATAGAGACCTTGTCTCCTGATGGGACTCCTTAGCTGCCTTAGCCCCTCCTCTTCGCTTTTATCTCTGTGGGAAAGCTGAAGAAGCAGCAGCAGAAATTGTCTGTCAGCAAGCCTGACTGCGCAGCACAGCGCTTGCTTCATGGTTAGAGGGTTTTCTTCACGACCAGAAGGATTAGAAATTTAAGTGCAAATTAAGGAAGGGCTAAAATTCGTGGTGTTTATCCAGGAAAGCCTTATCCTTCTTGTGGATGAGTAATTTTTTCTAGCCTTTTGATGCATTGGTGAGGCCCAAAGCTGGAGCTCTCTAAACATGCACAGTCATTGCCACAGCCAAGATAATAAATGGGCATGGTTATCCTAGAGTGATGAGAAGTAGCAGATGGGCATGTTTGGTGATTGCTACAGATTAACTGCTATTTTGTCCAGCAATTTCAGTATTTGCTTTTCTAGGAAAGTGGCAAAATGATTCTTAACCTTTACCAACAATTTCTTTCTTCTGTTTTGTTTCAGGAGGCCGTGGTAGGTGCATTAAGCAAGGGGACAACTGGTACAGCCCCACTGAATTTGAAGCTAGGGCGGGACGAGCCAGCAGCAAAGACTGGAAGAGGAGCATCCGCTATGCCGGGAGGCCGCTGCAGTGCCTTATCCACGTAAGGTTAAGTTTGCCTCCTCCTTTCTGCCGGAAGGGGCGGGTGGGGTCTGGGCAGCGTCTGCCCCGCGCTGCAGCCCAGCAGAGTTGTGTGTGGTGGTGCTGTGGGGCAACTCGGAAGCTACATTTTGATTTGGTTGAGAATCAGTGATGAGAGAGGCATTTTTCTCGATGTGTTTTCAAACGGCACAATACAAATCTTGCTTGTACTTGAAAAGGGGTTACAGTTTATGCAGGATGAAGTCCAGCCTCGAGCTGTATCGCAGAAATTGAGAAGTGAGCTCTCACCCATGGTACTGCAATTCAGTAACCTGATCTGCTTAATTCTGTTTGCCTGGCAAACATATTCTTCACTTGCACCGTCTGTTGAGCATGACTTTGGGCCCTTTACTTCCTGCCGTGTCCAGCGAGTCTCATGGAGAATTTGGCATTGCCATTAGGCTGGCAGTTGATTTCTGCTTGGGCAGAAACTTCATATAAAGTCTCAAATTCACATATCCGTGCCTTTTGGGTTGAAAATGGTTTGTTCTTCCTTCACTCTCCTGCTGTCCGCTCACCCTGTCACTATGATGCAGGGGAGCTGGCCTCTCTCCGACCGTATACGGTCCCTAGGAGGGAGTGGGTGCGTCTCGCTGGGAGCTGTCTGAATCTTTAAGCAGAGTACAGTCGTGCTGCCGGTGCTTTTGGTGACTCTAATGCTGAACTAGGAATCTTCTAATTTCAGGATGGGATTTTAAATCCTCACGCTGCCTCTTGCACTTGTGCTGCTTGCTGCGACGACATGACTCTGGTGAGTTGCAGGTTTTATGTCCGTTAGTTTAAAAACAATTAATCAGTCAAGCTGCCGCAGCCCTTTGCGAGCAGGTCCTGAGCGTCCTGGAAATGTTCGCAAGTGCGGTGGTTGCAGCGTGCTTTGTCCATGCTTCATAAAGAAAGCAGATGAGGAACTGCTGGCACTATTGCATAGCGGCCTAGTAAAACTGGATAATGGTTATTGCTTTTTTCTTCTTTTTTCTTTCTTTCTTTCTTCTTCCTTTTTTTCTTTTCTAAATAATGTATTTATGTAAAATGCCTATTGAGGATGTCAAAACGATTTGTGATTTTTGACTCAAATGCCACAATTTTTTGAGTTGGAAAAAATGTTTTTATAAGGAAGTAATGTCATACTCTCTGTTGGAGCTATACTTTCATATTAAACTGCTTGGGTTTTTTGGTTGGTTGGGTTTGGCTTTTTGTTTGTTTATTTCAAAAATTAGGTTAAAGTCCTGAAAGCAGAAGTCTTTAGCTTGACCTGCAGTAGTGTTTTGCATTTCTTTTCTGCTATGACCGGGATGATTTGCTTGTTTCCTAGACCTGAAACTAACTGCTTCCTCTCTTCTCCTCACTCTGTTCGGATTTCTTCCACCACCTTGGCCAGCAGTCAATTATTTGCCCAGTTCTGCTCCTTAAATAATAGTGGGAAGAGGCTGAATCTCTGCCTCTTCAGCTGGAGGGAGCTGAGCATAACTTTTTTTTTTTTTTCCCAGAGTTCTTTTGGTTCGGAAAAGTAGGAATTTTTTGGTCAATTGTTGCAAACCACACATCTTCCATGGGAATACGTGCTGCTTGACCTTAGCCGCGTCCCCAAAGAGGTGCCTCAGCTGATGCCTTTTCCTTTTTACTTATTATTTTTTATTGTGTTTTGCTTAGAGCGGCCCTGTACGACTCTTTGTACCATATAAAAGGCGGAAAAAAGAAAACGAAATGCCTGCAACTCCAGTGAAGAAGGATTGCCCCAAAAACATCACTCTGCTTCCTGCCACAGCTGCTACTACATGTAGGTTCTTTGGGAAAAATTGCTTCCCTTTTTCGATGAAGAATTGCCACACTAGATATTTTATGTCTATCAGTGGCCCCAAGTCGAGTAGGAAAAAGTCCAACTCTAGACCTCCAGGAGACTTGGTTTTAAGCATCTTAACGTCCTTTTGCAGTGAGCAGTAGGTTTCATGTTTTGTTCTGAGAGAGGTCTGGCTTATATTTCCCCCCTCTGCCTGCTCTCTCGGCCTGGCAGGGCAGGGGCAGTTGTGGAGCCCTGGCCGTGATCCGTAGTGGGTTTCGGGTAGGTTTTTCACAAATGACAACTGAGAAATTTCCTCCTGCTAAAATTAGGTTGAGGGGAAGGCTGGCCCTTCTCTGCTCTCCTGGAAAGCCCCATTCCATCCCTTGAGCTTGGTTTTTGTCCTTTAGAAGCTGGTGGGGGCTATGGAGTAAGATTTGTGCTATTTCTTGAAATTTCTTGAAATAGGTAGAAAAGTAGGCTCTAAGCAGCTGGAATGAAATCCACAGCCTGAAAGTCATTAATGAAAGAGGGAGAAGGTGACGCTTTCATCTGCAAATTCCTCTCTAGCGTTCAGGACACGCTTTGTTACTTACCGTTTTTGATTGTCAAACCATCTGTGTGAGAACAGAAATTAATTTGCAAGCTCATCCAGCTCACACGTTCCCAGTCACATCCATGTGTCCTCCTGCTCTCATCACACTAGCATCATCTGGATGGTAACGTTACAAAGTGAACTGAGGAGGAAGCAACAGAAATCCAAAAAAGAACAGCCAAAAGTAAGATTAGATTACCAGCAGCAGCAGGAAGAGAAATACGCAAGGATTCTATAGAGTTTTGGGGGGTTTTTTATCCCCCAAAGAGTTTAATCTGTATTGGTTCATTAATGTGCGGTGCTGTGAGGTTGCACATTTGCTCACGCTGGCATCGGGACAGAGGAGGAATGCTTGTTTTAGTAGTTGCCCCATATTTCACCAGGTATGACTCTGTAGCCTCGATGTCTTATAATTGAATTTATGTTTGTGAAAAGATTCTTCTGGCTGAGCAGCATGCCACAGAATCAGCCCGTTACCAAGTAATGGTGCCAGATTAATTAATCCCATTTAAAAAGGGGTTTAAATTTTTTGGAGCTACTCAGGTATATTCATCCAAAAGGATTTTGTGACTTGTTCCTTGCATTAGCCAAGCATATTATATCGCTCCGTGTAGACAGACCGCTAAAATTGCCCAGCTAACCAAACTGTCATAGAATTAGTTGTAATCCACGGGGTTTTTTTTATGTCGCTTTAAGTAGTAAGACTGCTGAAGTTGTAATAAAACAGGATCAGCAAGAAGCTGGTGGGCTTTGTGGCCCCGCTGGATCTTTCCAGTAGGTGTTAAGTTTTTGCTCATACAGTAATTGAAGAGGTGGTGATTTGGGAGGCAGCATGTTGTAAGTGAAAATTCTGGCCTCGTACACCCAGCGAATAAACAGAGGCCTGCAGGAGGCCGGCAGCGCCTTCAGAAGCCAAGTGGGGCTTTTATTCCCTTTTCCAATTGCATTGGTCGTGGGTGTGATCCAAACTTGGGTTATCACAGGCCATTTACTGCTCTGTGAGTTCTCTGACTTTGGATGATTGAGAACAGGGGTATCAACAGCTGAACAACGGAGGCCGCCGCGCTGAATGTTAATTATGAAAGTACTTCTAATATTTCCAGTCACCGTGACTCCTTCTGGACAGATCACTACCTCCGGCGCTCTGACGTTTGACCGTGCATCGACAGTGGAAGCCACAGCGATTATCTCGGAAAGTCCGTCCCAGGGTGATGTTTTCACTGGAGCCACAGGTAAGAGTCAGGTGTACGTCTGCTGGGTGTCCGTGGGAAGGAGAAAAAAGGGTTTGGATGCCCGCTGCTATAAGAAGAAGCATTTTGAGTGCTGCCCGAAGGATTTCTTTCTCAAGAGCTTACGGAGAGACTATACATAACCCGCCGTCCTTCCTTTGAAATGATTTCAGCAGCTTGAAATCTTACCAGTTGCACAAAAGAAGTTAAAAGTTTTGTCCAGATGTTGCAGCTGCTAATGTACCCCTCTGCTGATTTCTAGGGTTTTACGGTCATCTCTCTCAATTTTTTCACTCCTCCTTCGTCCTAAAACACTACCAAAAAAAGAAAACTAGCTGAGTGTTGAAACTAAGTGACAAAATGCTGAATAAATGCTGAAAAATGCCAGAATAAATTAAACAAAATATAAATGCATGCCATATATTTCAGTCCTTTCTGTTTGATTCGTACACGGGGTTGTGAGCTCTGCCGAGGGAACGATCCTGCTCCGAGAACCACCGTTTGGAGTCCTGCGATTATTGTAAACACATAGGTGTGCGGGAGGGAAGCCAGCGGTAACCTTAAAAGTGAAAGCAGGGAGAGATGAAATCAGTACAAACTTGCTTTGCCTGCTGACTGTGTGAAATCGTGCTGCTGGTTCTCATTTCCAACCCCGGGAATTACCGTAGAGCGTAGGAACTTGTATAAAATGTAAAAAAAAAAAAAATACGGGTGAAAGCATAAGAAATGCCTGGAAGCTGTGTTACGCAGCGATTCCTGATGCCGTTGTTCTTCTGCAGTTCAAGATACCAACGTCCAGCAGCCTTGCCGGGTCACTCACCCAGAGCCTCACTATCCCAGTTACCAGGACAACTGTCAGATTTCACCTTTTCCCGAAGCCGCACTGCCAACATCTCACCCCAAGATCGGTATGTTTTATGTCCGTCACGCGAGACGCAGTTAGCGGGGCTTCAATTTACTCTCTAATCTTCTTTCTCAGCAAAGGTAAAGCTTGAGGCAGAAAAATAAACTTTGCTCTGTTCTGCTTACGAGTTTTGCGGTTATTAAGGTTTGGACAAGCAGATTTTCCACTCGGTGGAAAGTTTTTCACTCCGTTGTTGAGAACTTTGACTTGTTGGTTTCTGCCAGAGGAGGCTGTTGTGATCCTGCTTCCGGAATCATCTCGCAGTCCCCCGCCTTTCCCAAGGCTTTTGCTTCAAGGCTTTTGTCACCACTTGGGCACTGTGGCTAAACATTTATTGAGGTTTTGACCTCAGGAGACCACCCCCTTTAAAATTATGTCACAGAAGCTTTTTTGAAAATTCCCGCATCTCTTTATCAGTCCACTGATCCGTGCCGAAGGCAGTTTTGGGCAGGTTTGGTGTGCCGCTCTCACGTCCAGTGTCAGTTTTCCATCCCTTACCACTGACGTTTGTGCTGGGATGATGGGTGCTGGTTAACAAGTGCCAGCAAGAGCCTGCCCTGCGGTGGTCACGTAGACTCTGGAGTGGAAAAAAAGAAAAGACGGTATGAAAAATGACGAATGCAAATCAGCCCGTTAGTGTTTGATGGGACGGGTTAGCCCGATTATCAAATATCTCCTCGAATGTCATTGTATTACGTAAACTGTAGAGCTGACTGATAAATCAAGTGAACCACAGTGCTCGTACTGAGAGAAAGTGGAAGTGTTGAAGAAACTGGAATTGCAACCTTGAAGTGTTGTTCTTGCTTTGCGTGTTTTTATGGAGCCTGGGCAAGAGATGCAGCAGGGGATGGTCTGCCACTGGCTGGCTGAGGGCTTGGGTGATTTATGGGCCTTGTACTTCTCTAATTCCTGTGATTCTGTGAAGTTACTCTGATGCTGCTCTCGCTGACGCAGCGGAGCTGTAAGACATAAGACAGGCAGGTTGTGATCCCTCTTACTGTTCTCTCAGGCACCAAGAAAAGATCATGTAAACGTGGTATTCCTTTGTGCAGTCTGAAGTCTTTCTTTTCCAACACCTGTGTTCTCCCTTCTCTAGGACCTTTTATTTAGTCTTAGTCAGATCTTGATGTTACTAATTAAACATTGATTTTTTTTTTTTTTGCTGGTGAATACTTTCTGTTGACTGATAGACCTATGCCAAAACGAGGAATCAGAAGTAATTCCTGTTAGATAAGTTATCAAATGCCATACTGGGCTAGATATTGTGCTGGAAATGTAGCAGCGGGAAAGGCTCTTCTGCAAACAGCTACTGATAAAAGACCGGTTTATCTCTTACTTGTATCTAAGTGCAAATAGTTCTATGCCAGGCATGTGCAAATTGATTGAAATTACTATTTTAATTAAGGGCCATTGAGCATAAAACGTCCGCTTACCTGTATGGTGAACTTGGGATGCTGTCGGTCAGAAGAGGTCGCACGCCTAACGCACAGCGACCTGCAGTTCGCTTTCCAAATGCGGGCTGGGTCCTTTCAGCTTTTGCTGCTTGCGTGAAAAACGACCAGGTACGCCTTGAAAAGGGTTACGGTGTTCATACACCTAAATTAGGTGCTGTCTTGGAAGATACTCGGTGTTCAGTGCAGCCTTGTAAGAAGTCTTGTTTGTCCGCAGATGCTTTACTAAGGCGAGGTTCGCTGTGAGCGGAACTGCTGGAATTGCAGCCCGGTGCAGGACGGCGCGTTGGCCTCTTGCTGTTCAGGACAGAGTTTACAGCTGAATTTTAAGTACCGTTTGAAGCGTAGTCAAGATTTTTTTGTGAATGGGGGTGTCTGTTGTTCTGTTTTTAACCAGGTTGTGCAGTTTGCTGTTCTGTGTCCCTGTCCTTCAGTGAGAGGGGTTTGAGGCTTGTTTCTGCCTTTCTTTTTGGAGCCGCCTTAGACAGACCAGGGTGCCAGTACCTGTAATGGCATCCCAAACAGATTGCGGTGGGAGACTGATGATAAAGTACATGAGAATAAAGCGCCTTTCAGACTCTTCAGCCTCTACGTTTTGTTCAAGAACTGCCCGCTTAGTAAATTTCTTAGCTCTGGTTTCCCGGCAAAGCGTCTGGCTCCAGTCACGGCCCATTTTAATGAAACCAGTGGTCAGTACCCAGCAGCGGCAGCTGTGCTGCCTGCGGGGCGCCCCCTTGTAACGCTGCAGAGGCTCAAGGACGTTGTCAGCGCCTTATCTTGGGTCGCACCGGCGGGAGCTGGGAGACAAGCTGCCTGGCTCAGAGTAACGCCTCTAAAAGCAAAGCGGACACTGGCAGGGTGCAAACAGGATTTAAACGGCTCAGCGCTTCTCAAGTTATATTCCTGGCTGTGTTCAACGTTTCTCTGAGGGCCATAGCATCCGTCAGTTGGCACGGTCCTGCGTTTTTTATATGAACGTATCACTCATGATTTAAAAATCAAGGAAGCTAATTGGCTTTTGGTGGCTGGAATACTAACAGCTCTTCCCTTGACAACGCAGAACTACCCAGGAAGGAATGTGGTTTCTCAGCTTGCAGTACTTATTGCTTTTTCTGTGTGCTGAATCGTTCTGAAACTCCTGCCTAAAGATGGGAGGAAAAATCCTGAAATGGACTCTTCGTAGATTTTGGGGTAATAAGACTGCACAGCCCCAAAGTCGGCGGTGCCCTCTTTTTTTCTAGTAAATAATTTAGTGAGGAATTGAGAGGTCAGCTGTTGGTAGATGTAAATGTCTTGGACTTAATTTTATGGCAGATGGCGAGTATTTATCGCTAGAGTTAGAGACAAATTTTGGAAAAGTAAGGCCAGTAAAGCCCGATAACATTTGTTCCTGGAAACGTTGCCTGAGGTGAGCTTACACTGTGCATTGTTGGGTTCCTGGATCTAGATTTAATTTCCTCACGCCGTGGTCTCCCAGTGTATATGCAAACCTAGCGCTGTGAAAAGTAGATGTTTTAGTGACACAATAACCGCTGGGTTTTTGAAACGTTTGCAAAGGTGCGGCTAAGACAGACGTTGGTTTCCTAGGGCTTTAATTTTCTAACGCAGGCTTTGGGAAAGGGAGGACTGCCGAGCCCCAATAATCGAGGGGGCTGGAGGTAAGCTCATGGGAAGTATGACTGGGTTACCAGGACAGGAGCTCAGCTTCCTTCTGGTGGCTTCCTACAATCTGTGGTTACTGTTAAGGTTATGGTTAGGATATGAAAAAGTAAAGGCTGCAACACCTCAATAAATGTTTGGTTTGGGTTTTTTTTTTTTCTTCTTTTAATGTCCCTTGGAGTATCTTGAGAAATATTGCGGGGCTTCTGTGCTTTTGTATTTAGTGTCATACCTGTGGCATTCTACTTCATACAAGGGTGAAGAGTCGTAGTAAGGATTCTGGAGGAAAGGGCCATAGACAAGAAATTTCCTTCTTTAAAACTGTCCAATGTAAAGCAAGTCTCAGGAGCTGTTGGTGTCTGAAGCTAAAACTTCCAGCTAGACTGTATGCGTTCACTCTCACCTTCGGGATTGGGCAAGGAGAGGTTTCCGAGCTGCAATGAGCGCTGCTGTTCAGAATACCCAGGATATTTGAAACAGATACATAGAGCTGCGAACAGCTTTTAGTAACTTTTTGCGTGTTTCAGTGTGGTATGTGTGTTTTTATGCCCATAGTTTGTTTTATGGGTAGGATGCAGGATGAAGGGGTCCAAAGAAGGTACAATTGTTGAGGGTTTTTTCAAAGGGCTTCCCAGCTGGTGGTTTTGGAAGGGGCATGTTTGTAATACATGTAATTTTGAGGTAATGATAACTGTCTTGTTTTTATCCCCGTCTTGGGCCAGGGTTATGGTTAAGATCAGAACTCAGGAAGCGTAGGGGAGTGTGGTGTGGATCGGTGCCTCCTTTTTGTAGTGTCGCAACCTGAGAATTGACATCTGTATGGTGACATCAGGATATTTCAGGAAACTTGACCTTTTGGTCACTGAATGACTTATTATCACCTGACTTAGTGATAGTTAAGGGAAACATTAGGTGGAACATTGTGATGATAGGGGCGGAGGAGTCCCTGGGAATGCTGCTTTCACCGCTTAATTGTGCTTCCCTGCAGCAGCACTGGACGGTGGGAGTTCCTTCCCCGAGTAACCAGGATTGGGAGCACGGGTTCTTCTGTCCTCTGGGCTTGAGAGTGCCCCGAGGGCTTGTTCTGCACAGAGCCAGTCTGTGCACTTTGGGTCACAGAAGGCAGGTCTGTGTAGCAAAAACTTAGCCGGATTGGACCTTTTTGCAGACCATATTTTTTAAAAAAGCAGCCAAAACCGCAACAACAACAACAAACCCCATCCCCACACACACTTTATAGAAATGAAATGCCCGAATTCTAAATATTTTCTTTTTCTTTCTTTATATTCAGTGTTAACCTCTCTCCCTGCCCTGGCGGTGCCCCCCACGACCCCTACCAAAGCCATATCTCCTTCGGTGGTGAATGGGCTGGAAGTGACGGAGCAGCGGAGCTGGCTGTACTTGGAGGAGATGGTCAATTCGTTGCTCAACACCGCCCAGCAGCTGAAGACGCTCATTGAGCAGGCCAAACAGGCCAGCTCCTCCTTCCGCGAGGCTGCCGTCACGCAAGCGAAAATTCAAGCTGACGTGGAGAGGAAAGAGGTAATCATGCCAGGGGAGGGGAGAAGGTTCAGCCAAGGGCATCTTTTTGGCTGAGTGATGAACAGAGTAATACCTCACTGCTTGCCACTGGCTGTAACAGTGGTAGCCCTTAAAAATTGTTTCTCAGTGTCTTGAGAGCAGTGTTACCGAGAGAAATCTTTCCGAGTTATTCCTATCACGGGGAAAGGAGTAGAGTGCTCTGGGATTCCGCGAGCTGTGGGCAGCAGGCTAGTAATGCAAACTCTTTGGTGTTGGGAGTCCTGCGCGGTCCCATCAGCCATCCTTAAATTTATGAGACGTGGGCACTGAATGCTGGTGTAGGAAAGACGGTGAGTGTTCAGCCGTGCGGTGGCTGCTCTCTGTATGCCAGGTGAGCGGGGCTGTCGGAAAGGCTTTCGATGGCCCCAAGAGGCAGGGGGACACAAAGCGCAGCAAGCTGTGGGGTTTGTGGGGAAGATAAGCAGTAAAATTCAGCGGTGTCTTGCTGAGCATTGTGCAAGCGAAGCTGATCTCGCGCGAGTCCTGCGGTGAGACCGCGAGGCCGGCTGGCATTGCAGGAGTATTGGCTCGTACCCAGCGGCCCTTCTCTCCTCTGTAGGGGATTAGCTACGAGGACTGCCCTGCTCTCCCTGCTTTTCTTCTCTTTAATTGATGCATGGTAGGAACCCTGGATTCTTAACACCAGCTCATGCATGCACCCCGAATCTGGCTCCATGCGCTGCTGAATGCGTTCCCCTTCTCCCCCAGATCCACAGCTGCTGGCGTGGACTTGAGGGAGGGAGGTGGGGGGCAACGTACTGGGAAACCGGTGTCATTGTCGGTGGCCGATGAACTCCCTTCCTCCACCCCACCCCACCCGCTGTTCCCATCGGCGTTATTGCTAACGTCAGCTTTCCACTGAATTCATAGGCACGAGTGTGCAGCAAGAGACCGTGAAGAAATGTGTGTGGGAAGACTTTGCTGAGAACTGAGAACCCCTAGGACAGTCCTTGCAGCGTCTTTGATATTCTTTGCCACGTTGTCTCTGCTAAACTCTTCTGTACGCTGCATCCTTGATGTGCAGGTGTGTGATACGTTGAGAGTCTAATTCTTCCCTGCCTTCTGCCTGGGCAGAATGGGTATTCGTGCTGCTGGCCAGGTTTGGGCCGTCTGCTGCTAAAAAGCTGCGTAGAGCGTGGGATACCGAAAAATTGGAAGCTTTGACACAGTTAGAGATGAACGTCTGACTTTGTTTAACTTTGCTCTTTTTCCAGTTCATGTGCTGTCTTCCCGTCTGTTTATCCTTACAGATATATCTTATCCTTCTGGAACAGTTGTTCAGAGTCCATTCCCCTCACCCTCTGATCCAAACCCAGCTCACTTCCGTGTACTTCTACTTTTTTCTTGCCCCGGGAATGGGAGTTAAAATCACTCCCGTGTGTTGATGAAAGGGCTGACTTTACAAGGCAAGGATGGGCAGGCGTTTGTTTCCAGAGGAAGTCCCTTTCCCAGTAACTATCGACCACCCAGTTATACAACTGTGTGCCTTGCCGTTCTTACTGTGTAACGGGTACCTCAGCAGTTTTGTATTTTGATAAAAACATTTGCTCCTGGTGGTGTTTTTTTAATATCCAAATAACAATTCTCAAGCTTGCGGCTGTGCGCTAGCTTCTGGAGCCATCTGGGCAATATTGCAAGTAGCTATTTCTGAACTCCTTCTAGTGGATTCCATATCTGGAAAAAACTCCGGGTTTCTGGGTGCAGGGCTGGCATTGGAAGTAATTACAATAAATGTCAAATAATTGGCTGTCTGCTTTTGCGTTGGTCAAAGGTGTTTTTCTGATTTCCTGAACGTCTCCCTGATTTGTAACGCAAGTCTCTCTGCTACCCTGAGCGCGTGTGCGGTCAAACTGCTTTTTTTGACAGTGAGGGTGTATGAGAGGGAGAAAGAGGTGTCTTCCTACCTCGGGGGTGGTTTATTTTTGCTGGACCGATTTAATACAAAGGAAATAGGTGCTTTATCGCCACTTTGTGTTTGTTACGCTGACAGAACTTCCAAGGGCTAGCAAACGGGGGGAATCTTCTCGCCACCTCCTCCGATTGTGAGCGGAGACGGTGAACGCAGCAGTGTGGGTGCTCCTCTGTAGGAGGGCCAGCAGTTTGCAGAATTTCCGTGCAGCCGTATGTCCCTAGGTATTTAGAAGTGAAAGATTGTGACGTTGTATCAGAGCCGCAGAGCGAAAGCACAACAGACTGAATTGTAATAGAGCTGGAGACTGGGCTCGTCCTGGAAGAGTGCCTTCATACACAGCAGGATTAAAGAAGTCCGTTAGGAGCAGGCTGGTTCCCCGCTGGCTACACAAACTCCAATGCCCTGGCTGTAAATAACGCGTATCTTTAGTTTCCATGGCGGTGCAGAGCTGTTCCCCCAGTTCAGTGTCCCGGCTCTTGAGGTTGTTGAGTTCAAGCACTTTTGATCTGGTAACTGTCCGTATCCTTGACCGTATCCCTCTGTCATCCCTGCGGAAGAAGGAGATGGCCTCTGCCTTCCGACGGAGGAGCAGGACAGAGCGCTTGGGACAGCACCGGCTTTGCCGGCCCCTCGGGGGAAGTCCGCAGTGGCCCCAAGGTTAGGCAGAGTAGGGAAGAAGCAGCAAGAACAGCAAACGCGTAGGAAAACTTACTTGTGTGCTAGTTCTGTTTCAGTCTTCCTAGAGAGCAATAAATTAAGCATTAAGATTTTTTAATCACAGCTTATACGCTTTGTTGTATATTGCAAATCATTTACTATATTGTGTTTCACTTATTATACTTATTATTTAATGAGCTTTGGAGTTCATTAAATATCACAAAGGAGGCAGTCTGCTGCCATATAGCAGCAGTTGGGTTGACTTGGCTTTGAACACCAGAAGTTGTGCTCTATACTGAGCAGCGGCGAGCGCCTGTGGGGCTTGCAGAGCTCTGCACGGTGACCGGCAGGCTTTTGCTCCCAGTTCTCTTTGGGCAGGGGAGGCGTTCGTGCTGCCTGTACGCTTACGTTCTGATCAGTGAAGGCAAAGAGCGGACATCACTGTTTCATTCTGGTCACGCTTGCTAATGATATTATCCAGGACTATCAAAGGAGCCTTACGGCTGCATTATTCCCCTCGTTTATATCGTTTTGAAGGTGGAAATGTCAGCATCAGAGAGGAGCTCCAGCAGGAAGGGGATCTGCTAAACGTAGCAAGGGAAAACCGTGAAAAATTGTAAGTGCAGCATAAATTAGAAGCATCTACAGTCACGTTTCTTCCTTAAGACGGCATGTCTAATCTGAATGGTGCGGGAGGATTGGATCCCTCGTTGCAGCGCCAAGCACATGAAGATACCTAGATACAGAGTCCTCCAAGGCAACGAAGCGCTGAGCGTTTAGGCGTCAGGCTGCACGGCAGTGGGATATAAATGCCTGTCTTCGTAGGCAATTATAGAAAATACAGAAAAAGGCCCTTGCCTTCCACTCTTCTCTCACGTCTGACGTGAGTTTTTCTTTCACTCTGCCTGCCTGCTGCACGATTCCAGCCATATGACGCCCTGCGTCAGGGTCTGGTGACGTCCTTTGCTGTTCTGAAGAACCCGTAGGTCAGATTCCAAGTGCTGGAGCTAAAGGCTTCACCGACAGAGTTCTTCTTGCGCATAATTCTGTAATTTGGAAGTCCTTGCATGCGCTCTGTTGCCGTCTTTGTCCTTTTTAATTTCTGTCAATTTGTTTAAGGACCGTGGTTTGCTGGGCAAATTTCAAGACTGAGGATCTCTTTCAAATTTTGTTTCCATCTTTGCCACAAGTTATTTAGGTGCCCTGGGTAAGTCCTTGGCCTCTCTGGGCCTCACAGCCTGCTCTTCAGAACAAGGGTAACGCTTCCCTCGCAGGGGGCTTGCATACCAGTTTGCAAAGTGGTAGGATCTCTGGGTAAAAAAGCCTCAACCTCGTAAGTCCTAGCAATAAGGACAATTTGTAAACCCGAAATCTACAATTCCCGCATTTATGAAAATACCTCTTTTGCAATAATTTGAAACCAAATTGTTCTAGAGCCTAAGAAAGTGGTTAAAGATACCTTTCCTGTTGTGAATGCTGCTGCAGTATCTCATGTGCCTGCTGCTGAGGAGAACTCCGTAAGTAACAAGCGGAGCCCTCCCAGGGTGAGTTCTGGACGTGAAGCTGACTGCTGAGAACCACTGATGGCCTTAAGCCCTGTGCCTTCTGTGTGTAAACCAGGGGCGCCCACGCAGCTGGCGCTGAGCCTGCGTACGGCTTTGTGTCGGCAGACACCAAATGCAAGTTGCATTTGCGTTGCCTAGAAGTCTCGGGGAAGGACTTTCTGGAAGAAAAGCAAACCATAAACTCCCCGCTCGGTCTTTGTATTAACTTCTAAAATGCATCACGCTTATTGCAAAATGCGAAAGTATCGCAATATTTGTAAGCTTTGAGTGGCGGCATTTTGCGGGGGATTCGTTAAATACGACTGCTCTGTCAGAACTTCACGCAGCTGTTCCGAGAAAGTTCTCCCCTGCCCTTATGGACTGGCTCGCGACTGAGCGAGTCTGATCCTTTGGTTGCTATCTGAATGCGGGGTTTACCGCGTTTTTTGATTTAGGGAAAAACATTTTGGAAGAGAGTGAGTGGGGCAGCAAAGGCTCAGCGTCTCGTACGAGAGAGATTTGACAGCTCGCAGGTCTGGCCCGAAAGGGACGGATTACAGACTGTACTTGCACAGAGGCCGTCTGCTTTGGCAACGTAATTTTTTTGAGTGTGCGTTAAGCCATCGTTTGTATCAGATAAACTTTAGGAGGGGGAGAACTCACCAAATTCTGTGCCAGAAGACATTGTTGGAAGGTAATAAAGATATTCAGGAAATGCGTTTAACCGTTTTTCTGTATAAATTTAAAAGAATCGGTGTCAAAATCTGACAAGTGTTTTAATTGACATAGCCCTCTTGTAATGCAGTGATGCCTTCGGAGACCAGCCCATTTGAAAACAAGGTGGAAGATTAAATCAGCTAACAGCTGGACCATCTGAATTCTTTTTTAGAAAGATTAAAACAGTTCAGGGCTAGAGAGTACGAAATTAACCTAAAAAGGGTTGGGCATTTAAGAGATGTAGCTCTAGTAAGCAAATAATGGTTTGTGTACTCCAAAGCAGCAGTGAAAACGGCTGGGAATTGGAGGTTATCGGTTTTCTGGAGCCGGTTTTGTGAGAGATCTGGATGCGTCTGGCTCGATCCTCTCTCTTGCCACGCCTTTTCCTTCTCCATAGTTTCTGAACGGCTCGGATGGCTGTGCGGAGCCAGAGGACTCGCTATGCGGGCAGAGAAAAGGGAGACAGAAGGGGGTGAGACGTGTGGGTTCCGTCCACAGGGCTCAGGGCCGAGAGCCAAGGTGGAGGAGCTGCTGGGGCTCAGACAGAGGTGGCTGGACCCCTTCTCGATGTCTTTCTCGGTGGGAATCTCCCTGGAGAGCAGGATCAGCCACGCTTGTAGAGGACAGAGTCTGGTGGTGGGAAGGGTTTTCATTCTGGAGCTGCGGCCCTTGCGCAGAACTGGAATTCAGCGTGTTCGGCCCCCGCACTGCCTCTGCGTGGGCTGTTGCAGAGGGGACGGTGCTAGCTGGGACTGTGTGCGCAAAGGTTTTCTCGCCAGGTGGAAATGCCAGCTCGCCGCGTGCTTTGGTATCTGCGTTTCCACTTTCTTCACTAAAAAGAAGTTTAGAAACATTACGCAGTTTTCCTAGGCCAGTACTCTTAACATGGGACATTTCTCTTTCGCTTACCAGTGGAAAACTCATTTTAACCTTTCCCGAAGAATCCACAGCTTCCCGCCAGCCCGGTTCTCCGCCTGTCTGCAGGCTGGCAGAGGGCAGAGGCTGCGGCACGAAGTGTGGACTCCGCATCTCCAAATTTGGTTTTCAAAATAGTAATTTTGAAATTTCCATACACGCGACGCGCACTTCGCCTACGCAGAACTGCGTCGGGGATGCTGTGCGTGCGTCTAATTACTCTGCTCTTGCCTGTTTGTCAAGTAACGGCAGAAGCCAGTCGCAGCCCTTGCAGCGTACAGCAAGGGGGCTCCCTGCCGCCGCCTCCATCTCCCTGGAGTTTTTCAATTTTAATTTGTGTCATGGTAATATAAAGGTTTTGAAGGTTGTGATTTCACAGGAGAATAAATGCTGTCATGTCAGGTCATAGAGACACTTGTAAATTAAGCCTTTAATCTCCTTACATGTTGGGTCATAGTCACTCCTGGATAAACCTGCTTTGCCTGAAGGTGGGGGTTCGGGTTTCTTCTTACTTTTTAACTGCTCCCAATCAATTCGAGTCAGGGTTAGCACATAATCAAATCGGGATCGATTTTGAAGTCCTTTGGCTTCGGGCTCCTGTCTCGCAGCAGTGTTGGCTGCTGAGCACGGCAAGGCCATAGGTGGTTGCCTGGTTGGGCCTGGACTGGTTTGGGGTGGATCTGCAACGCAGCCGAAGCGTGCTTTAAACGGCACCGCCGAGGGCTGCTTAAGTCAAAACCCGTTTGAAGGCCCTTTTATGCTTTTATTAAAAGGAGGAGTAATGGTGGCGGTTGATGCTGTTTCTCAAGCCTTGTGTGTGTTAATTTTGTCTGGTTTTTTCCCCTAATCCATTCTGTTGGGCTGCGCCATCCCTTCAGACTCTTTTGCCTGTTAGTGGATTAGGATCACTGGGCTTGACCCAAAATTTGGCCCAAGAAGATGGCGCTCGGTCCCATTACCTTGCCATTTTCCTCGTGTTTCCTTTGCTAACTTCTTGGCTTCTCGTGTGAGGGGCTGCAGTTCCCCTGTGGCAACTGAGCCGCCGGCTGGGAGGAGCGCTTGGCTGGCCGGAGTGGGGAGAGTGGGTTTGAGTCAGTGCTGGACTTAGCGGGCGGTTTTGTCGCCTCAGGCCGTTTTCTCACAGGCTTCATCAGTCTCCGCCCAAGGGCGCAGTGTCCCTCTCGTAGACGGGAGGAGCGAGGTTCCCCTCGGCCCTCTTGCAACTGCGGTTTTGGGCTTGCAGAAGCAAGCTGAGCGTCAGGACCCTCGGTACAGAGCACCCTTTTCAGCCCCTCACCTCGTACGCTGGCTGTGAAATGACAAGCCTGCTGTATTTTTCCTTGCAGCAATATCAGAACCAGTTATTTCAACAAACAGAAGATGTGGACGGGAAAACAGAAATCATCATCAAGGTAAGCTGGGGATGTCTCATGTTTTATGAAGTCTTTTGTTCTTTGTCTTGTTGCATTTAAAGATGCAGAGGTTTTTGTCATTGCTACGGAAATCATGGATTCTGTGTCTGGCCTTGCCTTCTGGCAGAGCTCTGAGCTCCCTAGCGGGACTGGTGCTCTGTTGGAGCAGAGTGTGTCCCCTTTCCCAAGCCTTCCAGGTTGTCACAGTGCTTTATCGGCATCTGGCCAGGTTAGTCAGTCTCACTCGCCTCAGTAACGGTACTGCCGCTCTAACGGACGGCTGTCACCGAGGCGGGACAGGAGGGAGACTCTTCCTTTTTGTCCTGCGAGCTCGTTTTCAGAACTGCGCGGTTCCCTCTGGCTTTCGGAATGGGCGTATGGGTTGGGTCAGTTCAGGACCCGTGATTCAGCCCTTACAGCTGTACGTGTTATTTTCTAAGATCTCCAGGTACAAGTGCACACACTGTTCATTGTCAGCATTTTCCAATGCTGTACAGGTTATGAACAGCCTCCATCATGTATCCCTTTGGGACAGGCTTTGCAAGTCCCAAAGAGCAGCTTTGAGCCCCTTTTTGGCGGCCTGAATCCCCGGCCGTACGTCAGGAATACAAACGTAGTGCAGTCACACCAGCTGTTAACTGTGGGTACGTTGGTAAGGTGTGAGCAGATGGTGTGATGATCGCGGTGTTAATCAGGGCGCTGATTGTTAGCTTGGTCGGGCTCAAAAGAGAGAAGGAGCTGGTGGAACTAAAGACGCCGGTGCTACTTTCACAGCCGAGAAACGCTTCCCGTCGCGGCCTCGCGCCGCCGCTCTGACGTGCTAATGATTTGTCAGTAATTTAATGAGTTGGAAACGGAATGCTCTGTGAAGTGCTTATTTTTGTGGTAGTTCAATGATATTCCCACCTAAATATACAGGTTATGTTAATTGATGTCACTGAATCAAGATTAAAGCGATAGACACAAAAACATCCTTTAAAAACCAGGTGTGATTTTTCATCCGTGTATCCTATCTCGCCTTACTTCTAGGTTTAAGTCCTTGCCCCTGTTTCCCTGTTGGGACACTGCTGATGTAGCCGTGCTGCTGACGGGCAAGGGAACAAGCCTGCTCAGCCCATCGGGGCAGATCCCTTTCTCCTCTCAAAATCCAGAGAAAGATTAAACTGAAGGGTCCCATCCTGATGCCTGCTCTTGTCCTTCCTCACCCCCTCTCTCAGACATACGCAGGATTATGAACCAACCCAAGCAAATCCGCCCTTAAAGCTTTGAATTTGCGATAAACTCGGAGCTTGGGTATCGCTGGCCCGTGCGCGGCCCTGGGTCAGGGCTGACTCCCGCTGAAGCCTGCAGAACCCGGCTGTGGCTGGTGGGATGCACGGCCTGCGTGGAGGGGGGCATCGCTGCGGCACCGTGGGCAGACTTCCACGGCCACTCAGTATCTCACCCACGTCTTGAAGGGCTTCTGGCCCACCAGAAAGGAAAACCGAGATGCATTTCGTTTTCCAAAGTGATCCCTGCTAACACGGCGAGGAGAGTGGGTCTCTGAAAGTGTTTCCAGAAGCCACTGGGCCTGTTTGTTTTGTGTTCGTGTGTTGAGGATATATTGGGAAATATTGGGAAATACTGGGAAACGGGGCCTTTACCACTGCTCCTGCATCGCATCATATTACAGCACCTGTATTACGCTTCGGTGATCTCCCTGTTGCTGTTCTCTCTGACGTGGTCACTTTGCTGTCCGTTTTCACAGCAGTCCTGCGTCAACTGCGGTCGTGAGGCAACGAACGAGTGCACAGGATGCCATAAAGTCAACTACTGCTCCACGTTCTGCCAGCGGAAGGTACAAGCTTGTTTGTGAGTTGCAGATGCAGTTGTCTAGAGGGGGCTGTGCGACCCTGGGGAGAGCCAGACAGGTGGGCGTAAGCACGGCGAGAGGAGCGGGCAGCAGAACGTGCGGTGTGGTACGGGCAGCGGAGCACCAGCCTTGCGCGGGTCAGCAGCCCCGGCATCCCAAACCCGCCCTGCCCGCTCGGCCTCTGGGCGAGACTGCAGTGACGGGGCAGGTCTGCGGGTCCGGGTCTGGATCGGGTGGGCAGGGAAGGTCCCGAGCTTTGCACACACCTTCGCAAAGGTGATCTAAAAATCCGAGTGATGCCAGAAGCGAGGGCGCGGACACCTCACTGCCTGAGCTGCGGGGACCAGGGAGCCGGGAGCGCTTTCACAGCCCTTCCCTGCCGCTTCCCCGTAAGCTGAACGCTCTGCAGAACCTGTGCTCCCGCCCTGCCTCTGAGGACATTGTTCTCTTACTGTTGACGTTGTTTGTGGTGCTACAGATGACACAGCGGGACAACCGTAAGATTTTGATCGTGGGGGGTGGAAACAGGTATGAGGCAGTACGGTGGAGGAAGCTGCTGTGCTTCGTTTCGCGCAGGTTCCTCACAAAGACCCTTGGCACCCTGCTCTAGAGGAAAGGATCCTTCAGTTTGGCCGGGGCTCCAGCTCTGCAGGCTGTGCAAGTTCAGTCTTCATCAGCTGAGGCCAGGTGTACGGAGTAGCTGAAGAATTTTGATTGTGTCCTTTTGCCTGTAACAAAGCGTAACGGTGGCCACGTTCCCTGTCTGCACAGCAGAAAACTTAAAAATTCCAAAGAATGGACAAACGCTGCTTGCAGAAAACTCAGACAGTTCTGCCGCCTCCCCGGTGCTGGGAGCTGGCGCTCTGCACGGAGTGTGAGGTGCTCGTCAGGAACCGAAGCCTTGAGCTTCCCCGTGTTTGTGATCAGTGCTGTGCGACCTCGGAGCTGAGCGAGGTGGAGGGGTATTTTGTTAGTTCAGACGAGGGGTTAACGTCGGTCAGTCTTGGGAGGAGTTGTATTCCCCTCCCTTGCCTTACAGAACGACGGCCCCTTGCGTGGCGCCGTCCTTCGGCAGTGCCAGGCTGTAAGTCCAGGTTCTGACTCTGCTTTTGTAGAATTTTCCATGACCTAACTGACATTGATGTCCTCGATTGGTTTTCGGGTTGAGAAGCCAGCGTTCTGCTTAGTTTGCGTCCTCCTCTAGCACTGACCCAGCGCGTGGTTCCTTTCCTGTCCGTCGGTAGCCTCGTTTGGCCGAGCACTAGAGACCTGCCGTAGCCCGTCTGTGCTGGAGAAAGCGCGGCTCAAACAGGGCTTCTCTTCATGGCCTTTCCCTCTGCTCTCCCCTCGCAGGACTGGAAGGACCACCAGCATATCTGCGGCCAGTCGGCCACCGTCACGGTGCAAGCCGACGAGGTGCACGTCACGGACAGCGTCATGGAGAAAGTCACCGTCTGAGCCCACCTACCTCTTCAGCCGTTCACGAGCAGCGTGGTGCGGCCGGCTGGATCGGCAACCCGGCGTGAACGGTCTGTCCTTTGCAAACCACTCTCTCCTCCCTAGCAAACTCATTTTTGAAAGACTTTTTGATACTGTGACAGCATTTGCCTACTCCCGATCCTCTTCCAAAACTTTGAATAATACAGAGACTGTGAAAACCTCATCTGGAAAAAACAAACCCCACCTAACTGCAGCCGCGCAGCTGGGAGCCACCTTCGGCGTCAGGAAGCTTCGACTTTGCCAGACTGGAACCTCCACCATGTGGATTACAGCGGTCTCATCATCTCTCTTGAGATGGGTCTCAAGCAGGTGCTGCAATGAGATTTGCCAGTGTTTCCTTCTCCCTGAGCCTCCCTACCTCTTGTTTGAAAAAAGAAACGAACCTTCGGTTGGTTTATTTAATTGCCTTGAAGAAGTTGGTACAAGTTCTTAGTTTGCTGTCAGAAGGACTTTTTTTTTTCCTGTGTTCCCTCTGTGCTGGGCAAATTTGGAACACATTGGAGCTTCTGCACTTGAATAGAAGTGAAAAATAACACGTTGTTAAATAAAATGCGGTGAAAGCTCGAGCGTGCCCGGCGGTACTGTTTAATTCCCACGGCAGCACTTTAACGTACTGAGAAGTGCAGCAAGCGGCTGCGGCGTGGCTGCGGGGAGTTGGTGCAGCTACAACGCGGCCGCGGTTCCGCGCGTCTTCGCTCTCCCTCTCCGCAGAGGCCGGCTGGGACGGGGTTTGTTCAGCACTTTGTTTGTTTGGTGGTTGTCTCGTCATGCGGCGTGCCTCGGCTGCGGCTCGCAGCGCCCATCTGGCCAAAAGCAGAGCTGATCAAACCCAAAGTAAGAGCATATTAATAGAGTGCTGTCCTGTCAGCGCCGCTTAGTAGCTACTAATTAGAGAAGTGGCGAGCATTAGGAAGCTATTTCTTTTATTCACTGCAACAAAATCATTTAATTATTAATGTACTTCTTTAATAATTGAGGCTAATCAGGCGTCTTCATCCGTGTTTGAAGACTAAGGCCCCAGGCTGAGGAGCCTCAGCACGCACGCACGCCGCGCTGGTGGTTTTTTTTAGCCTGGGGCATAGCAAGTGTGAGGGGTTACTTGTCTTGTCCAGGCGTTCACCCCCGCTTAGTGTTGGCGGCAGGGAGGATCACTGTTAGCTCACGCTCCGAGGGGGTCACCTCTGGATCACAGGGCCCAAACCCAGCGCCATAAATGCTGTCAAAAGGAGAAAATTCTGTCCCGAGTTGCAGGAAGGTAATAAATATGAGAGACAAACGCGATGGAAGATACCAAAGTCTTACGCTGGCGGTTTCTGACCCCTCCGCGGGTGACAGGCCTCCAGCACAGGCCGGTGGCAGCTGATGGGTGCCGCTTTCCGGCCGTTCACTGGAAAAGTTATTCCTCCTAGCGCAGAGCTCGTGGGCGAGGCAGGCAGCGCCGCTGGCGTTCCCTGCGCGGGTGAGGAACTGGCGGCGGCAGCCTGGCGGCCTCCTGGAGGAAGCCACTCTCTAACGGAAAGCCGGGATGAGAACAGAGTTTACCCATGTAAAACTCCTGGGAAGGAAAGAGGAGGCAATTCCTTAGGTTCCCATAGCAAAATGCTCACTCCTGCTTCCCAGAGTGATACTTCAGGATTTGTAATAGTTTCTTCTCCCACTGTTAAATTATGATTGCCTGTTTTCCAAAGCTGAAAGACAATCAGTTAATTGAAAAGACAGTCTTAATCAAGCCTGCAGTAATCCAGCTAATTTACAGGGTTGCCTGCCTCCGTCTGTTGCCCATTAAGACGCGGACTAAATGGAACGGCGCGGAGCGTCGAACACCTCGCGCTGCCGTTGGGCTACACCGCCTGTTTGGTTTTGGCGGCCTGCCTCCGTGGCACCCTCCCGTGGGCGCGAAGCTCCCGGCACCGCGGCGGAGCCTGTGTGCAAGCTGTGAGCTGGTCGTTCAGCGCGGGGGCGGACGGGCAGCAAGCAGTGCTGCTGCTGCTGCTGCTTCGCTCCGAGCCCCCTCGGTGCCGGTGTCTCCGAGCAGAGGTGCTGTTCCCAGAGAAGGCTGCCAAGTCGCAGTCCAGTGAATCCGTGGATCGAGTCGCTTCCCAAAGAAACGAGGGCGAGAGCAGCATCGCGCATTAGAATGCAGTGGTTGGCTCTGAAGGGGCACCTTTGGAGTGCGAAAGCTGCACTTTCAATGTCAAACACGGCTTTCAGTTGGAAAATATTTCTGTCGCGTCACCCCTTTGGCTCACCTTGCAGAGCCGCCCGCCCCGGAGCAGAGCTCTGCCTGGATTCAGCTGCAGGAAGAGGTGAGCCGAGACAGCAGGTACGCGAGGTTGCCGGGTCTCCTCCTTGCGTCGGTGAGCGGGCAGCAACTTACACAAACACAGAGCGAGTGCTCCGCCAGCCTTGCTGCGTAGTCTGTGCCTTGGTTGCTGTCCCGCTTTTGGCTTTCCAGAGTCTTTTAAGGGGAAAAAAAAATTGGAAGAGAGCGGGGCAACTTTCCTAAATGAAAAAATTGTAGGTCGGCGCCACCTGTAATTAAAGGTCTCGGGGAGCGTCCCATCAGAGCCCCGGTATGCGGGGCAGCTGTGCCCCAACGCCGTGCCAGACTACAGAACACAAAACTTTACAATATAATCACCCTGGGACTTTAACATGTTTATTTGTTGATGATAAATTGACGGAGCAATTGTTAGTCTTAGTCAAAGAAAAGCTTTAGCCCTCCCTGCAGTACTTTTTACCTTTTGTTTCTAAGCAAACGAATTACCCCTTGGAAAGCACCAACCCTGTACCAAAATCGTTACTCAGACGATTGCTGTTCTGTGCAATAATCGCTTTCTTCCCTCCTGCGCGGCAGAGAGCAGCCCGAGCTGCTCCCCTGGCTGCCCCCCCGTCCCTGCGCTCAGCTTTACCAAAAGGTAGAAAGGATTTTTTTCCTGCAGGCTTGGAAATGGTTCCTGGGAGCTATTGTCCGGCTTGGTAAGGAATTCTGGAGACCTGGCAATGACATCATCCTGCCTTTGGACGGGTAAATCTAAAATTACCACTCGCAGCCACGGACAGCCAGGCTTGGGAGGAAAACGACGCAATAAAATATCCTGTGGTACTCACCTGTAACTCCTTATTGAAGGGCTGGGAACCAGCACCCTTTAGCTGCCGGCTCTCCCTTCCCTCCTCCCAACAAAGACAGCAGACCTTAGGCAGAAATAGATCTTTAATGAACTATACAAAAAACCAGCCTGGTCGTTCCTTCTCCCCACCAGTTCCAGAGCCTCAGCAGAAGAGGTGCAAGACTTTGCGGAAGAAGTTCCTGAACTCCGCGTTGAAAACGGTATAAATGATGGGGTTGAGAGCACTGTTGACGTAACCCAGCCAAGTGACAGTGCTGGTGACTTGAGTGGGAATAGTGCAGGACTTGCAGAGAGCCCTGGTAATGTGGACCACAAAAAAAGGTGTCCAGCAGAAGAGGAAAGCACCTGCCAGAAGGACATTAAAGAGAGAAAGCGATGTGAATGTTAAAAAGGGTTTAACTGAACAAACGCAGCCTGGGCCAAAGAAGAACGGAGACAGCTCAGAGCGCTGAGGGAAAAAGCAGCAGATGTGCTGACACGTAGAGCTGGGCTTGCGCCCAGACAAAAAATTTAGGATGTCTTTCTCATCCTAACCCTCGATGAAGTCTAAGTTATGTCTCGTTTGGGGTTCGCGTTTAAGATACCAGGAGTCAGAGGTTTACCTTGAAGACAAGGCTGGATTCTGAACGCTGTACGTACGTTCTTTCCCAAGGCGGGTGTTTGTTGGCACTGCTCTGGCTCAAAGGGGTACTGGGATTCTCACACCCTCTCGCACCGAGGGATGGGTGCAGCAGGTCTTAAGCCACAACCAGGCTGTTCCACGGGAACAAGGGAGGGTGGGTGTTAAAACGAGTCCATGCACGATGGAGAGGGAGGAGGCCCAAAGACGCGGCACTGGGGAGGGGGAACAAGAGGGCGGTGGCTTTTATCTCAGCCTCCCCTCCTCCAGCAAGGATAAAGCGTGGTTCTCAGCATGACAGCTCTCGTGGCTGTCCCAGCACCCATGCCTGGGCAGTCTGGCTCCTGGTAGGGGAGGCTGCAAAGCGCATGTTCACTGCGCCAGGTTCAAACACGTCCCGCCAGGCTGCCAACGCAGCACGTCTCCCGCCCTTCCCCAGCCAGCACCGACTGCTACTCACCGACGACGACAGGCAGCACCCGCATGGCCTTCCGCTCCCGGCCGTTGATCTTGGCCCGCTTCCGACTGTGTCCTGGGGGTGGGTACTTGAGGTGTGGGTAGGAGACAGTCTGGATCCCATTGTCCATCACATAGTCCCCAGGGCGGTCAGAGCGGGCGTAAGGGTTGCGCTCCCCTGACCCCAGTCCGGTCTGCGCTCGCTCAATCAAGGTTGAGGGGTGATAGAGCTTCCTGTTGGCCCCGTAGATGCTGCCCCTTAGCTTGGCTTTCCTGGCTTCTTCCCAACGCTTCAGCCCCTGGAACATGGCACAGTAGAGCACCAGCATGACGGGGCAAGGGATGAAGAAGGAGCAGATGGAGGAGTAGACGATGTAGTTGTCATCCTCCAGCTGACACAAGCTGGGGTCCCGGTTTGGGACATTGTTGAGACCAAATATGACTGGGGATGCTACAGCAAAGGCGAATATCCAGGTGGTGGATATAAGGATCAACTGCCGCAGGTCGATTTGTCGCCGGTTGTAGTTCAGTGGGATGGAAACAGCGATGAACCTGCCAATACAAGCCCCAGGTGAGTCAATCCTAGTACGGTGGTGTCACCACGGGTAACGTAACCGAGTGGTCCCAAAGCTGCTTGCCACCGTCCTTCCCCCCTATTAATTTACTTGCATAGCCAAGGCCTGGGCTACAACCAGTCTCCCCCCTCAGAAGGGCACCCAAAGGGACAGCTCGGGCCTCGGCACACAACTCTG